AATGAGTAAGAATGCAGAGCAAGCTGGCACCCCCACTTTCTGTGTGGGTTTGCTGGAGACAGACAATCCTCAGACACAAAATGGGATCTATAAGTCAGAGATCAGCCTATAGATCAGCTAGGCTCATGAAAACTGTGTTTCCCTTAAACCCACATAGATCACAAAAACATCACATCTGATCCAAGGTGTTCCCTGTCTCACTTCCCTGAGATTTACGGGAATTAAAAATTTTCGCACATTTTTGGAAGAAAAAAGAATCCTAAATTTAAAATTATTCCTAAATTTAAAAATTATTACTTAACACAACTTTTGGTTCCTAAGATCATGGATGTTTCTACAATTAAGCTTAAGAGTGCATGTCCTCTGAATAGTAATTTGCTTTTAAGCCAACCACAAATACTAGACCAGTAATACCTGTTAGGTGTCAAAATCACCTAGAGCTATCCCAAAGGGACTTAATGTATTTTTTGTTTGTGTGTGATGTGTTCATCAGGCTTTTAGCATCCCAATTTTTTGAGCTTTTGATTCCTGACTCTTAATTGCAATCTTAAAAGCAAATTTTCAAAAAACATTAAGGATTGTCAATTAAGTCTTACTCAGTACAAATCATTTCCTGGTCCACTGAGCCTATAAACTTTGCTTATTCACAGACTGAATTCTTCAGCTTATCATTCGCGTGTGCACCCCCGCACCCCCAATCATGTACAAAACTGCCAATGCAGACTGTACCAAACCGCACCCCCCCCCCGCCCCCCGCCCGTAATGCTTGGGTATGGAATTGCATTTGAACATCCACAGTTCAAACAGCAGATGCTGTTCTGAGGTGCATGACCTGGTCCACACTTCTGGCCACTCCATTCACGTTTCTGTTCCTCTGGGTTCATTAAGGCTTCATTCTTAGGAGGCTGGCTGAAGTTTCTCTACACACAAGTGACTCTCTTGAGACTGAATTATTCTTTTTAAAAATATCACAGAATGAAATCAATAATATGGTTTAACCGTCTCATGCCTTCATTACTGCAATTTGAGAGTTAGCTTGCATCCAAATTGGGAGTATGCAGTCCCTTGCTGTAAAAAACCAATAGTTTATAATGTAAAGCACTCTGGAATATGGCTAGGTATTTTATGCAATCTTCAAAAAAAGTCAAAGTAGCCAAAGCTAAAAATGTGCAAATGAAAATAAGCAAGGAAGAGCCCACACTGTAGTCTGAAGGTATCCCACCGGAGATTTAAATAAAATTACATTTGTCTCCCACTATTTAATTTTATGGCATAAAAATTACTCAAATAAATACAATCAAATGCTTACATTTAAAACATACTCCTTTCTCAGTCTCTCTCTCTCTCTCTCTCTCTCTCTCTCATACACACATACTGTTGCCCCCTCCCATCAAAAAAAAAAAAAAAAAAGAAAGAAAAGAAAAGAAAAAGAAAAGAAAAGCCCCAAAGCTGTTTCAGGCCAGCAATCAATCCAATTTACTGCAGGTACAATTTATATGTACAGTACATGCCACAACAAAACCACAGTATGATGCCAACAGGGCCCTTAAGAAAGTTCTCCCCTAAATCTCTGGAAAGAAGCTTTAAAAGAAAGCAAGGATTACAGTCAGCTAGAAGGTAGGGAGGGGACTTACCTCAAACCCAGCCAAGCGGAAATCAGAGCAGTAATTCTACAAGTCGACAGAGTACACTTTCAAAGCTCTAATGGTGTGAAGAAGTGCCGGGCAGCATGGCCTGAAGGCAGCACTAATACAGTGATGACTAATGGTGGGGCCAGGGCAGACAATGAATTTGAGGCTTGAAAACTAACAGGAACCATGCAGTACTTTGACAAATGGGCTTTCACAATTTCATTCATTGAATAACCTTTAAGCACAAAATTGGCTGAGTTCTCTTGGGAATTATATGACATGTTGTTGGACGATGATGTAAGTATTTTCTTTTGTAATTATGACTCTTATGCAAAATGCAAAAGCACCATCTATGAGGACACAACTATAGATACTACACATGCAGATGTGGCGCCTCAACACAATATTGCCTTTCAGGAGGGGGCTGGAATGTTCCAGGGCCACCTTATTAACTATGTAATGGCTTGTTCATTCAGTTTCTTTAGAGAGCCATAGATTTTCTGGGACATTCTGTCCGGTTGAAATATACACACACAGAACAAAAAACACTTTCACATTTAAAAAAAAAAAAAAAAAAAAAAACACCCTCACAGTGGACCTGAGTAACCAAGAAGTGTGGCGCTAAAATATAGTACATTTCGAATTACAAGTGGAAAAAGTCTAATTTTAAGGGGCGAGGCAAAGGAAAAAGTGCCTTAGAACAATTGAGACACCACGTGAAGTTTGCACTTAGGCTCACGTTTAACATCCCATCTCTTTCAAAGGGCTCTCTCCCTTCCCTCTTCCCTGCCTAAGGAGTCCTTCAATTTACAAATGATAATTTGGGCAATTTTTAAAGAGCTAAATGAAATATCTAAAGTGTCTCTAAATTAACAGCACCACTTACTCCAGACAGCATTGCCTTTAGCAGCTCCTAAAAACTTAAGAAAAGGATCTTAAAACAGGAAGCTTAGTGAGCTCATAAAACTGTTGTTGGAGCCAGGAACACATAGCATATTTAATCTGCAAACTGTGGGAGTCTACAGTGATTTCAGCAAGATCTGAGGCATGCCCTCAAGGTTTGCTGGGATCTGGGATTAGGGGGTTGATAAGAACCTCTACTGCCCATGGACATGTTTTTCTTCTGCAGTTAAACACAAATGCATAGAGACGTTTGACTGCTGCTTGGCGTTACTGCTCAAGTTATATAAAAGCTTTGCAGCTCCTTTTGCTGTCAATATATCAAAGTTTAAAAAAAATCATCAAAGTGTGAAATTTCATTTAAAGTCTTTGCCAGTCTACAGCTCTATTTCACAGGCCCATCACATAAAAGTAAAGATGAAAAATACCCTGAAAGTACTTGAAAAAGTTTGCAGCAGTACCCCTGCCCTGTTGTTGTTTATTCTGTCTCCCTTTATTTGCTTTGAAACTCCAACAAATCAATTTTCATCTGGAAAAAAATGACATGAAGTGAAGGGCAGCCTCCCCTACTAGCCTTTAACGAAAAGACAACCTGAAGTCATTATCAGAGTGGAATATTTTGCTTAACAAATTAAATCTATACACACACGCACACACAAACACACATTTCCTCTCTAGTCATTTCAGCATTGTGATTGCTCCTCATGATATAAGTTGGCAGAAAATTTCTTGAATCTTCCAAAACAAGTCAGACCGACTATGGAATATGAATGCCAGCAAAACTAAAACCTCCTTCAAAGAACTCTTTAGCTGGGGATTTACAACAATTGCATAAAGAAGAAAAGTCTGACTTTTAAGATAATCTACTATAGTCTAAAAGCATTAACATTCCATTGCTAAGGTTTTCTTGAGGATTTCATGACTCAGTGATTCACTTTTCCTTCAAGACTGGTTTTTCTCAGCATATCACCGTCTCCGTATAAGTTGAGTGCATGGAACAATGATCATTAAATTGTTTCCTTTCCTAAACTCCCAAACCCTAGCCTCAAAAAAAGGGCGGGGGGGGGGGTGGCGGGGGGAGCGAGAAGGGGGAACCTCAGCAAACAGGATACCTTACATCCAGGGAAGGACCTAAGCACAGAGGAAGTCTGAAACCCTTGCAGCATGCAGGTAATTAAGAAAAGGGGCCAAGAAACAAAGGAAAGTCCAACTTTTAGGCTCGGGCATCAAATTGATAAATTAATGACTCCTTCATTAAGTAAGTAATGAAATAATTCAACAGAGCCATTTTTCATCAGTACTGGATTTTCTCATTTCTGTCTGTAGTCCTTTGCAAATTAGGCATACAGTGCAAGAGTGTTTGGATCAGGGCTCGATCAAGGAATACACGCACGGCAAAGGTACTGGGAAATGGTGGGTATCTAAGCTGGACCAACTAGCCTATGAATAATAACGCAGTCTGTACCTTGTAAAGTGCTTCTGCATGTGTGAAATTTCACTAGACACCTCTCACATTGGACTCATTCAGGCATCTTAAACCAAAGCTTCCCGAGGCTGACTTTAAGAATTATGTACCCTGAAAGGATCTCCCCTTAGGCAGGGAGTTTCTAATTAAATAGCTTTTAGTATAAAATAAACCCTCTTCTCCCGGTGAGTATGCTATTACAACTAATTTAAATGTTATTTCATGTTTGTTTTAGGTCTGACTATAGTCTAACTGGCCAAAGTGTTTGTGTACCACGTTATTAAGACCAATATTTCCTAACATAAACAAATTCTTTAGATACTTCACACAGTTTACATTGTTAAGACCAATCACCATGGCTTTCACACAGCCCCTCGACTGAACCGGTGTTCTGCTTTAGGAAAAATGAAGAGATTTTGAGGTTGTTTCACTACTTTCAAACACAGCATTTTCTGCCTTCAAAATAATCTTGACACGTGTAATTAAGAAACTGTCAGGCTATTATTAATTTTTAATTTAAAACCTAAATGAAATAATTACAGGAATCCATCAATAAGGCACCTACTCAAATTACAGAACAATTACATAAATACTCAAAATTAATACTTTAGGCCAATTCTTGAAGATTTCAGCCTATAATGTGCTAAGACATCAAACAACGTAAAAAGTGTAACATGGAAACGATGAATAGTTCCTGCCTGAAATGAGATCATTTCAGTTGGCCGCGGCGGAGGCCCCCCACCAGCCATGCCCAACGCACTCAAGCTGGAACTCTTTTTAAAAGTTAATTTATTTCCACCAGGCACACATCTCAGGGATCTCAAAAACGGCCTCATCCAAATTTTGTACAAAATCACATTTTGGTGTGTGTGTGTGTGTGTGTGTGTGGAGGGGGGGAGCCTCGTTATTGTGAATTTGCAGAGGAGTGCTCTAGAGAGTGACCAGCTGGGGACAAGGAGAGGAAAAGGAGGGCAGAAGGTGGTTTTTTGGAGAACTAATAATACCAGTGCAGCTAGTGGCACTGCCCAGGTCTTCGCACAGCGGCCGGCCCTGCAGACCTCTGACTAAAGGGCTCTTTTACTTGGAGATGCGGACAGTCCATCATTTCAAACCGAAATGGCAGCTGGAAAATGTGGAACAGCTGGCAGAGAGCTGGGAGAAAATGTTTTACATAAATATATGTACATATAAACTGGCAGAGGGCCACAAGCACTGTACCCCCAAGGCCAGCAGCATCTACGCGGGGTAGGAGAAGTCGGGGCAGCAGGAGTAGTGAGGACGCTGCCTCCTGCATGCATCCTCTGGGTACGCGGGGTCAGCGGGGGCCGCCCGGGGCCAGCCCCGCACCCCCACCCCCACCCCCACCCCCATCCCCGGGCCCCTCCCCGGGCCCCCTCCTGGGGGGCGGGGGGGGCACCTCCTGCAGGAGCTGCAGGACCCACGACCGCAGCACAGAGTTCAGGGAAGGATACGAGGCCCGGCTGTGCACTGGCGCTTCGGCATCTGGCGATCTGCTTAAAAGTCGCTTCACAAACTCTCCAAGTTTGGGGTAAATATTTATTCCCTCTCGACTTCCTCCCGCCCATTTCCCCCTCTGCAACTCCAGGAGTAAGTGCCCCCCGCGGAGCGGCCCCTGCCCACTGCGCTCTGCAGAAGCGCGGCCTGGCGAACCGCCGGGACCCGGCCACCGCGCCCCGCGCCCCCGCGCGCCCTCCCTGCGGCTCCTCACGCCTTTTAGTGCTTTTGTTTCCTATTTGCTTTTCTTTCTCTGTTCTTTTCTGCGCTGTCCCTGGAAAGGGAAAGAAATCAAAGCCTCCCAACGCCTGCCCCGACGGCCCAACTTTCACTTTGCCCCTCGGCATCCGAGGCCGCGCGGGCGGCGTGGGGACCCGGGTCCCCGCCCGAGGGGGGCGCCGCGGGGCGCGGGGGGCGCGGGGGCCGCGGGGGGCCGCCGCCGCCGCAAACTTCGTCCCCCTGCGGGACGGGAGGTCCTCGGGTCCGCGTGGGGCGCGCCGCCGCGGGCCGCCTCGGGCACTGGGCACCGGGCGCCCCGAGGAGGAGGAGGAGGAGGAGGAGGAGGAGGAGGGGGGGGGGGGAGGGGGAAGAGGGGGGGAGGGCTCGCTCCGCCGCCGCCCGGGGGCCTCTCCCGCTGCGGGCGCCCTCTGACAGCCGCGCGCACCTCCTCCCGCCCCCCGCGCCCGGGGACCCCCTCTGCTCCCGCGGGGCGGGCGCGGCCGCAGGAGCCGGCTGCCGGGTGCCCGGCCCGCGAGACAAAGAACTTCGGGCGGGACGTACCTGCGGCGGCGGCGGCGGCGGCGGCGGCTGTCAAGTCCCCGAACTTCCCATAGACCCGCGCCCCGGGCGCGGGGCGGGCGGCTCCGGGCTCCGCGCGGCCGCGGGCGGCTCGGGCTACGGCGAGCGGCGGGCCCGGGCGCGGGGTGCGCCCTCGGCGGGCATGGTGCGGCGCGGGCGGGCGGCCGCGGGGCGCGCGGGGCGGGCGGGCCGGGCCGGCGGGGCTGCGCGAGGGCGAGTGTGCGAGCGCGCCGGGGCCGGTGGCGCTGCCCCTGCCCGCTCCCGCCCGCTCGTGCAGCTCCGGCATCGGTTTCAGGGATCGTGTAATCCGATCCCTTCTGACTCACAGGCCCTGAGTGACAGTTGTGATTCGGTCCACCCGCGGGGGGGGGGGGGGGGCGGGGAGCGCGCCAGCCAGCCCCCGCCGCGGTCCCCTCCCGGCGTCCAATCCCCTCTCGGGATCCGGGTCCCATCCCGGCCGCGCCGCCCGCCCCGACCCCGCGCCGGGCGCTACTCACGGGCTGGAAAGTTGTCCCCCGGCTGCGCTCCCCTCCCTGGCGCTCCCTCCTTCCCTCTGCTCCTCCGCTTCTCCTCCTCCTCCTCCTCCTCCTCCCCGCGCTCCTCCTCCCCCGAGTTTTAGCAGAAGTTGCCGGACTCTCCCCCGCGCGCCCTCCTCCTCCCCCTCCTCCTCCTCCCCCTCCCCCTCCTCCTCCCCCGCCCCGTCCCTCCTCCCGCGGCCACTCGCCGGCGCGGTGGGGACGCGCGGAGCAGCAGGACGCCCGCCGCCGCGGGGGGCGAAGTCGGGAAAACTTGCCGCGCCGCTCGCCTTACTTTTGCTTCCTCGCTCCTTCCAGGCCGCGCCGGGGCCCGCGCCGCCCCGCCCGCCGGGTCCCCGCGCCCGGGAGCCGGTCCCAGGCGCGCCGCGGGCGGCGAGGAGGCGGCGAGGGGGCGGCGCGCCGCAGGCCGGGGTCGGGGGGCTGGGGAGCCCGGGCGCCCCGGGCCACGCGCGCGCCTCCCCGCCCGCCTCCCCGCCTCCCCCGCCTCCCCCGCCCCGCCCGGGTCCTCGCTCGGACCCCGTCCTGCCCGCTCCTCCCCTTCCCCCGCCTTGACCCCGCGCCCGCTCGGCGCGCCGAGGCCCCACCCACCCGGCGAGGGGAAGGGGGCCCGGGCGTGATGTCACCGCCGCGCTCCCCGCGCCCCGCCCGCGCCCCGCCCGCGCCCCTGGCTCCCCTCTCGGGGCGCGAGGCCTCCCGGGAGGTCGCACCCCTCGGGGCGCCTCCCCCTGCCCCCCACGTTTCCCGGGGCCGCCCCTGCAGCGCGCCTGCTCGCCGGGGGATGCTCTGGGAAGTCCAGGCTTTGCCTCTGCGCACCCACGGCCCAGCCCGCGGTCCCCGAGGGCCACTCGGGAAAGGACACAGAGACCCCGTGGCCTGCAGCCGGGGCCACAACGCGGTGCCTTCCCCTGAGCCTCGCGGTGTCTGCGTCCCGGATTTACTCGCGGCGGCCCGAGCTGCTGGAAATCAGCTTCTCTCCTTCCCCAACCGGGCAGGCCGCGGTGATGCCCCGTCCCCTTTGAACGCACCCAGCCTGGACCTGTGGCGGGAGAGAAGGGACTGGGAGGGTGGTAGTGGGGGGGGCGGTGGAGTGGTGGCGGTGCTGGTGGCAGAGACAGATGAAAAAAAGGAAGGCAGAACCCTGTGGCATTCCCGAATCCATTCTTCCTGGGGTAAGGGAGAGCCTGAGCCACCCACCAGCCGCCAGCCGTGCAGGGAGCTGAGGGTGCACTTGTATTGACTCGCTGAGCTTCTTGACTGAAGGAAGAACGTGGGTGGATGAATGATTAGCTATTATGATGTGAAGAGCATTTTGAGATTCAGATGCTTCACTGGAGGTTTTTTTTTTTTCTTTTCTTTTCTTTTTTTTTAAGGAAAGTGATGGTGGTATTCACTATTTGTTTCCTGGGACTTGTTGCTTATCTCAAAGACACGAGGGAAGCAGACCCTGACTTCAGCTTTTCTGGTGGGAGCTGGAGGTAGAGTGGGTCTGAAGGTCCTTTTTAGCCATTTAAGATTTCTCTCTCTCTCTCTCTCTCTCTCTCTCTCTCTACCTTAGCACTAAGTAAGTAAATCAATAAGCCGCCACCTACTCCTCCCACGGAGCAGGGCTCTCAGGATACCTGGGTGGTGGTCCCGGCTTCCCCTCACTAACTGGCCTCAGGCCCAGGCCCCCAGGCCGGGGAGCATTCTCTGAGCCTCTGTGGGCTCCGAGTCCATCTGTGGGTTGATGATAGGAAAACCGGGCCACTTACCTCCCAGGATGTGTGTGGGTTTGCAATGAGATAATGCATGTGAAAGTATAAAGGGACACAAATGTGTAAGAAGTATTATGGTCCTTTTGCAATTGCAGAGGACTGCAAGCCACTCTTTCCCATATATACTCCTCCAGCATCAGTCACAATTTTTTTTTTTTTTTTTTTGGTATTCAAGTACTGCCTATGCCTCAATGACATGAATGCAAATAATAAAACCCGATAGCCTCTTCTGTTCACCCACTGGCAAAAAATAAATAAAAAGAAGAGAGACAGCCAATAAATCAACAACTTGAATAAACTAGAGATTTTGACTTTTACTTAACACAGTCTTCTAGCACATTTTGGATCATGAAGATCTCGATTCTCGGTCTTTTCAAAGACAAGAACAAAGGAAAGGCAGCTCTTCTTTCCTCTTAGGCCCATCAGAACAGTGAAGAGCAAAAGGGAAAGAAGATGCTGGCGTCTCCTGCGGGTCCCCGCTTCTTCACCTGAGATTCTTGGTGGAGACACTACTCTGCTGTCGCGGTGGCATTTTGCAAAATGGTGGGGCAAAGAAAACAGAAGACAAACGTGGTTTGCCTTCCTGTGAGTTAAATAATGCCATAATGCTGTGACTCTCTATTTTAACACCAGAACTTTTTCCAGATGACATCTTTTATGGAATCCTAAGGTATAAAAAAAAAAAAAAAAAAGTGGGGGGTAACTCCCACTGTATTTGGGATGATGGGGTCTCAGAGCCCAGCCCTTTCTCTTGTCACCCACCCCTTTTCTGCAGTGGCCCCTAAGACATCTTGAAAATCCCCAAGTCATGCTGGAAACATTGGAACCTCTCTTGTAATGATAAACAGGCACTTACAGATGTCCTGGGCTCTGAGGTTGTCCTTCCTCCATGTCTAAAATTCCACCGTTATACATTCATTTATTGCTATGTCTCATCAGTTCTCTTTTCAAATGCAAATATCCTAGGAAATTTTAATATAGTGAGTCCTCAAAATGATTAAGCATATAAGACAGATTTTTTTTTCCTCCTTCTTCTTTGCAAAAATGGGATGAAAGAGGAGACTTGAAGATCTCTGTATTAGTGTCCTGGGGCTGCCGTAACAAACTACCACAACGTGGGTGGCTTACAACAAGGAGGATCTATCGTCTTACGGTTCTGGAGGCTAGAGGTCCAAAATCAAAGTCTCAGCAGGGCCTTTGCTCCCTCTGAACGCTCTAGAGAAAGATCCCTCCTTGCCTTTTCCTGGCTTCTGGTGGTGTCTGTCGATGCCCGGCGTTCCTTGGCTTGCAGCGGCTTCACTCAACTCCTGCCTCCCTCGTCATATGGCATGTTCCCTGGGTCTGTCTCCCCTCTTCCCGAGGACGTCAGTCGTACAGGATTATGTATGACCTCATCCTGCCCTAGTACCTCTGCAACCACCCCCTTTCCACACCAGATCACACTTGGCCATTCTGGGAGTTAGAACTGCACCGTATCTTTTTCTGGAGGGACTCGACGCACCCCACCGCGACATTGGAAGAGATGAAGGATCCGCAGTGGAGAGGACAAAGGGTGAGCCCGAGAACCAGCTCTCCGTGCTCCCCTGCATTCCTTTGCCCTGTCATGTGGGCGCTGCACAACTTCCATTCTCGCCCGTTCTTACCCCTGCAGCTTTTCCATCTCCTTGCAGTGGCCCCCGTTGAATTGTTGAGAAATCCCAAGGGGATATTTCATGGACAACTCCTTGCTGTTAAGTAGTGACAGGATTCCCTCTCACACTGGCTGAGGTTAATCTAAAGGAGAGGAGAGGGCAGGTATTTCCTGAAAAGTCCCTATGTGTGTAGGTAGGCTTCAGGCAACGTGGGATCCAGGGGCTCCAACCATGTCTGCTGAATTCTATTTGTGTTTTTCAGCTAGGCCTTACTCACGCCTCCTACACGCTGTCTTTGGGCAACCAAGGAGGTGGCTGGAGGCAGCTGCATTTTACATAGTCAGTCTTACTGTTTGCACTCCCAGAGAATAATAAGCACCTGGCCCAAGGGGACACACTATTCCTCTCAGTCAGGCAAGAGCGATGGTTGCCTGCCAGGTGATGATGAGGAACACTTAGGCTGCATAAACCCCACCGTGGGGACTGCCACTTTTTTCCTCTCTCGTGCTGGTCTCCTCCCGTAAATGCACCTTCGCGTCACTTGCCCGCCATCGCCATCGGGCTGCCTGCTGGGCGGTGGTGCCTCCCATGCTCCATGTTCTCGGGCATCCTCAGTACCCTGAATTCCCGTTCATCCCACATCTGTGGGGCGAGACAGATTCTTTCAGTCTTTGGAATTATACTTGATCACAAGGCTCTGAATATGCTGTTCCTGATGTATGACTCTCTCACCAATTTTCTTTTTGAAAATAGCTCAGAAGTGCTTAGAACCTTTTTTTTCTCTCGGGGACTAACACCTCTTTCATGTCCCTAAACTGAAGATCCCGAAGGCTCTCCTGATGCAGATAGAAACACTCACGCACAGCCAGGTGAATACCCACCTACCCACCCACCAGTGAGACTCTACAAGCCTCTCGGCTGCACGCTGTCTTCATTTACGGGGGCTTATTGCCCAGGAGGCTCCAGGGTGTGGCATGCACATCGACTGCTTGCACGTAACATCACTCGCCTACCCGACCTCTAGCCTTGCAAACCTCTCTGAATTACAGGGGAAGAACACGGCTTAACACTGAAACTAGGACTCCGAGTGTCTCTAACCGGTCATCTCCGAAGTGTGTACGTATCAGGTAAGACACTCTTCCCTAGAGATTCTCAACGCCTTGAAAAATGGTGGGAGTTCAAATACTGTCTTGCCTACATTCGAGAACCAAATTCCAGAACAAAAATAAGGTTTCCTAAGTCTGTTCTCATTCCCCTATCCGACCTGCTCCCTAAGCGAGGGCAGCTAGAGAAGGCGGCCCCCTCTCTCCCTGGCCAGAAAGCCTGGGCTCCCAGCGCTGTCTCATCAAGGTCATTACAAGGAGAGGGGAACTCGGTGGGAGGCACACAAGGAGACAGCGAGAACCAAGGTTCCAGACCCCAGTGTCACCCCCCCCCCATTACATTCTCTGCAGCCCACCCTCCCTCCTCTGACCTCCTAATTTCCTAAAGTGCTCTCTTCTGGACTCACTCCCAGGGCCATGACAAATGATTCCTAGACCGAGCTGATTTGACTTCCTGAGGGCAACACTTGGCCCAGGTCGGTTTCCTGCTGCCCTCTCTCGTTTCCTGGCGTGGTGGTTCTGCGGGCGCTGCACCCACCAGCCAGGGTGCGTGCAGGGAAAGCCCCCGGGGGGGCCGGCCAATCCTCAGCCACGCAGAAGTCTCGGGAGTGCCCCTGGGAAGAAACACTCCCTGAGAGGGATCCGCGTGACCCCACGTGAGCTTCCCCACGCTGACTGGCTGGTTGCCAGCCGGGGCGTATGCATCACACAGGTGCCCTTCCCAGGGTCTCTCACTCAGCACCCCTGTAATTTATTCTTCCATCTTCCTGGAACACTGGGATTATAAATGTAACCCAGATGTCAGCTGTGTCCCTCTTCACCTTGGAGATGTAGCTGTAATTGGCTTGGACCTCAGCCAGTCCCACGGGTTGGGAAGACCTCAACCCCTCCCTCTGGACTTCTGCAAAGTTCAGAGCCCCACAGGACAAGTTCCCAATCCACAGGAAATCCACCCACAGCGGGCATGGGGCCAGTCTGGTAGATTTTACTGATGATTTGGGTCGCTTCGGTGGATTTTCTCCACCGAATAAAATAAGTTTCTTCCCGTGTCTCAAACAAAGCAGTCTAGTGAGCCGCATCTGTTTCTGGAGAGCTCACCTTCTCTTCCGAGGAGCTCGTTCATGGGACACGCTGGTTGACCTCTCCAGTGTCCCTCTGCCCGGGTCCGCTCACCACCTTTGGGATCATCTCGCGTCCACCTGGCAGCAAGGTCCAGGCCTTCTCTGAGCCTCCTGAAAGGTCAAGCACTGGCCTGTGGGACAGATGTTGTCTGCTGATGCCTGTTATTTGAGGTGCGGGAGTAAATTTGGTCCTGTCCTCTTCCTTTTGCTGTGGTCTCCACCACTCCCATACTTGGGGCTGGACTCATTGACATGATCTGTCTCCCGCCTGGAAACTTTTGAGGTGGCGTGGTTTTGCCCTAAACAATCCACCCACACAAACTGTGGGTTTTATCCTGTGTCTTTTCATTAAACAGGCTGTAAAGGAGAGGATGTAATCTCAAACGCATCACAGCAACTAGCTCCAATATTTCCCACCAGAATTTCTGTCTCCGTCTGTCTCTGGCCATGCCCCACTGCATTATTTTAATTTACTCTGCTCTTCTGTTCAGTGCCCAGCCTCACAGATTCCCCTTTCCTCAGGCAGAGCAATTCACTCCTGCCCCTCTCTGCTGGGTGTTCGAGAGACTCCCATGTACAGCAAAACAGGAGCCCTCCCATCGACAGGATCCACCTTCCTTAAAAAGTGGTTTAGAGCATCTTGTTGAAGCTCGTCTTGTCTTCTGGGCCCCACTCCCTGGCCTTCTACACACTGCACCCAACAACTCATCGGTATATTTTTTCCAAACAAGGTATGAAGAATTCCTCTAAGGAATTCCAGTGAACAAAACTTCCTGTATGTGCTACATAAGAAACTGGGAGAAGAGAGGCCACGTTTCTGGGAACACGATGAGGAGTTCAGATAGTTTACGAAAAGTCGAGAAGCAGTGGTCATGTACTTGGGAATCGTGATGCTCGTGGGAAGAGGCACCTCTCCAACATCGATAGGTGTGGGGTTAAGAGAAGGGGCTCTGAGATCACAGCGAGAGGCTAACATGAGTGGCGAGGGGCAACCAAGGAGTCCCACCCCAAAAGCTGCAGCATGGGACCCGTGGGACTGGTAGTGCCGGGCATCTGGTGGCCAGGGGAGAATGTGAACCATCACCGCAGAGAACGTGGGACCTCAGAGAACGAAGCAAGGGAAATGAAGGACACAGGAGCTCCTGCTGCATCATCCAGTAGAGCCAGTGATTATTTTTATATCTTTGTTATTGTAAGAGCCCTTCCGCGGCCCTTTTAGGATCCAGGCTGGCTGAGGAGGGAAGCCCGAGTTATACACACAAGGCGAAAGGCAAGCATTCTCGATCTCTCTCTCCTCATCTGTCTGTCCGTCTTGTATAGCACATGGTTCTGCTTTTGATGCTGATGGCTGTCGTCTCACTTCTTTGGGGTTTTAATACTAATCAGAAGCATTACAAGAGAGAACAGACCTAGATTTTAATCAGTTCTCCACCACTACCGTCTCTGTAGCTTTGCCAACCTGATTCACTCAGTTTGCCCATCTGTAAATTGGAAATAATGATATCCATCTCACAGAGTTCTTGGGGGAAGGAAAGTAAACGGTGTGTGGAAAGGGATGGGCCTCTGTTCTGTCTGGGAGACGCCACGAAAAGCAAATTTCCTCTTCCTCCGACTTTTTATGCCAGCCGAGCCCGAGGTTACCGGTTATAGCCTTTTCATGCTCGATAAGGAAGACATTGGAGATGTGAGGGTTTAAGTGTCTGTTCTCCTTCACCTATGAAAGTGGGACTTGTTGTGAATAGTTTCTCTACTGGAGTATACAAAGTCACAGAACTATTTCAAGAGTCTATTACTCACCAAGAGCTCTCCGGAGAAGCATTCCTTCAAAGAAACAACCTGCCGATTCCAGACAACTTGCTACTCTTCCTGGCTCATGATGTTTTAGAAGTCATTTACCAGTTCATCCTTCTGAAAGAGCAAAGATTCAGAGCTCCTGACCCTTGGGTACTCTGGGTTTTTCTTTTTACAAACCCAGCAACCAGTGTGGCTCTGCAGGATGACAGTGTGCGGACAAGGCTGTGTGAAAAGAAGGAGGTTTCCTTCCTAGTCCAGACTGCCCACACCTGGGAAGCCTTAGATCAATTCTTCATCCAGTCATTGATTCATTCAACAAACATGCATGGAGTGCGAAACGTGTGACCAGCTGCACAAGCCGTCGGGCATATGGTGGTGAGCCAGTAACTACATCCCTTGCCCTCACGGAGCCTAGAACCTAGTGGGGGAGGCAAACACGAGCACACACACACACACGGTGTGGTGAGCAAGATAAAGAACCTGGATATCAAGATATCAAGATGAGTACCTTCTATGAGGGGGGTAGCCCCGGGGGGACCTCTACGAGGAGGTGTTCACCCCACAGCCTTAAGTGATATCAAAAAGGGTTTCAAGATCCTTGTTTAAAAGGCATGTTGTTATAATGGAAGTGTCAGGATATGCTTACTTGATAATTTTACTCCTCCTTAAATTAAGAACCGCACATGGCACTTATTTTTCTTTCCTTAACACTTCACGTCGTATTTGAAAGGATCGATTCTACATGGGGCTTCAGCTCCCAAGACACTGTCTGGAGAAAGCTTGCTCCACTTACTTGCCATGTGAAATGCCACATGCGAAATATTCATTCGGCCCATTCTTAAGCCTACAAAGTTACAGGTGGTGTCTATCTGTGGAGCCTATTTCAGAGCGAGGCTTGCCAAGGAGCACACTTGTATGAAGGCAGGACGTAAAATCAAAGTTGAGTCTAAAATACCAGTGCATCACGGCCTTGTGTGCTTGTTAACTTGAATTAACAGCGCCTGAACAACTGCAGTCAGATTTCACCTACTCATGCAAAATGAAGTGGAGACGTGAGTAAATTTTCTTTATGTGGGCCAGTCAATTAAGGCAAAAAGTGGTTAGTTAGCCTAGATTATCCAGATTCTGCTCTTATCAGGAGGCTGCATCAGAAACGCAGAATGAAACACCTCTCTTTTCAAAAATGTCAAATAATCACGGTGCCGATTGGAAAGGTGCTGGGTAGATAGCCATCAAGGTTAAAGTCTCCCAAAGAAGGAGCCAGGCTGTGAAGAATCCATTCAAGCTTGCCCAAATAAAAGGGACTCAGGCAGTAATTAAATTCCTGCATATTTCTTAAACCCAAAGAGAGGGCATTCAGCTTGGACAAGGCACCTTTCACAATAGAGCTTCTGTTAAGGACAAGGTTTTAGGGGTTTTAGAGACTTTTTTCCTTTTTGTATTGCCAATTATACCATGCCCAGATACCTATGTTTCCCAAGGGAAATGATTCCTATCCCAGAATCATAACCTTCAGCTCCAGTTTGTTTGCCAGGAGCCCTCACATAAGGGTCTACTGGTTTATGGTGCATTGGGCTTTCCCATTCTTATCTTATTTCTGGAAGATCCTAGTTATGGAAGTAATGGAAGTAGTCCATCCACTTGCTATCAAGTCAATATGGAAGCTCCATTACCCTTAAAATTCAGCTCAGTGTTGGTGACAAAGCCTGGGCTCAAAGAACCTTGGTAAATTCTACTTCTGCGTCTTCTTGGCCATATGTTTTTGGGCAAGCTACTCAAGTGCCCTGAGCTGCGGTTTCCTCCTAGGTAAAATGGAATCCTAAGACCTACTCGATAAGATGATTTAAAGAATGAAATGAAATAATACATAGATATTCAAACTTTATTTTTCCCACTTAACTTAAAGATGCTTAGAGTAGTTCCAGGGTAGGATCTCCATATACCTTTGTTAAATGAATGAAATAGGTGATGATGAGAGAGAGAGTGAGAGAGAACTCCATGAAGGAGAGAAAGACCACATGGAATGAAGCTGGATAGTGTCCTGCTCCAGTAGGGACTGCAGGGCTTGTGTGGCATACAGGTCATGGAGATTTGAAAGAAGCACTCTCAGCTCCAGAGTCGGTGGAAAGAGGTTGGGCAGAGGGCCATCGGAGGCAACAAAAACCACAGCCTCTGGAGCGCGGCCCCTCCCATCGCCCTCCGTGCCATCCTCATCGATTTCCACCTTGTGCAGTTCTACAGTTGCCATTCGAAGCCATGGGGCATGGGTCTAATGAAACCTGACCCCTGGGACCCATGTGTCCATCTGGGCCTGAGGTAGAGGGGCTACACCATACTCTTAACAGGGGAATGGCCAGTCATGCTGTCAGGCTGAGACATCAGTCTACCCCTGGCATCATCACTGGGTTCAAGCACACCCACCTCCTAGCCCCAAACACTGCTTTGTAGCCTCTCTGATTCTGTCCCCCAACTTATCTCCATATGTAGGCATGGTCTAGGGGGAATCACTCATGTGTGAGTTTTTTGGTCTCTATTTATGTATTTATTAGCAACTGCACACTTTCTGATGGACCTGGCTGTCTCTGAGCACTAGTATGTGGCCTCCTCACAGGGAAAGAGAAACGCCTGTACCTTATCAAGGAGTCACGCTGATTTTAAGAGAGCAGACTGTAGATATGGTAAAAAAAATATCACTATACTGGACCTATGACTCTTTTTTTTAAAAAAAGATTTTATTTATTTATTCATGATAGTCACACACACAGAGAGAGAGAGAGAGAGAGAGGCAGAGACATAGGCAGAGGGAGAAGCAGGCTCCATGCAGGGAGCCCGACGTGGGATTCGATCCCGGGTCTCCAGGATCGTGCCCTGGGCCAAAGGCAGGCGCTAAACCGCTGCGCCACCCAGGGATCCCTGGACCTATGACTCTTGTACTCAGGGGAATTCTCAATGCTATGCTTTCCTCCCTAAATAATATCTTTATGAAGGCCCTGAAACCAGCTGTTATCTTCTACAGTTGATACATTTTTAGTCCTTTGGGAGTTAAAGGCTCATTGATGATGTGTCTTTTTTTTCTTTTTTTTAAGATTTTATTTATTTATCCACAAAAGATACACAGAGAGAGGCGGAGACATAGGCAGAGGGAGAGGCAGGCTCCCTGTGGGGAGCCCGACGCAGGATTTGATCCCGGGACCCTGGGATCACATCCTGAACCAAGCCAGATGCTCAACCACTGAGCCCACCCAGGTGTCCCTCTTTTTTTTTTTTTTTTTTTTTAAGAGATACTACCCTTTCTGCTGAGACTATCTGGCAAAAGTTTATCCCTGATATCTTCTGAGAATGGGTTTGCAAGCACTCATCTTATATGTGTCAACACCCCAAGCAAGCTGGCCTGTAGTCACAGAACTCTGAACACGGTAGCTCTTGCTGTGGCCTCTCAAATATCTGAAGTTCCTGGGTCTCTCTTTATTTGCAGATCACAGAAACCAATGGTTTAAGTCAGAAAGAGTAAGCCATTAGAAAGATAATACGAGAGTAAGCTTCAGGAGGGGAGAATGCACATGACCTTCAGAGTGTCACTCTTGAGACTCTCTCTTCATCCCTTAGCTTTAGCTTTCTGTGTGCCTTGACTGGAGTGTCTTGCTGAGTACCGTGTCTCTCCAACCACACCTGACCTCAGATGGGAAGAAAATTCACCTCTTATGGCTCCAGATCCTGGAGAGGGAATGACTCTCTACACCTGATTCTTTTCAAAAATCCCGTGAGATAAATGCAGTACAGCTAGATGCAGGTATTAGGACTTGTTGGTTGGTTTGATTTGTAGCAAGTGAAGGGGGAGTGTTATGGTAACTCCTGCACTCTCGTGTTGGTGAAAAGATGGTGACACCAACCTAATGTAGAGTACAGGACTCTCCATACAGGAAGAGCATGTGGTAGTAGAGGGGAAGGGTGTTATGGGAAGCAGGTCGGGGAGAATTAGGTACCATTTGGATATTTCCAGTTTGACGTCTATGTGATAATAAAAGAAATATTTTTAAGATACTAGATGTATAGGGATCCCTGGTGGCTCAGCGGTTTAGTGCCTGCCTTTGGCTCAGGGTGTGATCCTGGAGTCCCGGGATCGAGTCCCACATCGGGCTCCCTGCATGGAGCCTGTTTCTCCCTCTGCCTGTGTCTCTGCTGCTGCTGCTCTCTCTCTCTGTGTGTCTCATGAATAGATAAATAAAATATTGGAAAAAAAAGATACTAGATGTATAAACATGGAATTGGGTCTAGGTGCAGGGACAAGTTTGAGCTGGAGATAAAGACTTGAGAATCCTAAATACATAAGGAAAACTATGGGGAAAAGATGGATTCAGCAGGAAAAGCATAGAGACCCAAGGAAGACAATGTAATATAACCCAGGGCAAGGACAACACTGAGTGCCGACCTAATAATGTTGATAGTCCACCCAGGAAAACTGGGAAGAAGAAGCTGGAGTGGTAGGAAGGTAGCCAAGGAAGCAAGGGTTGTTGCAGAATGAAGTGGTCACTGTTCAAATACGGAGGAGGATTAGATGAGGTGGGGATTAAAATGTGGCTAGCAGGGATCCCTGGGTGGCGCAGCGGTTTGGCGCCTGCCTTTGGCCCAGGGCGCGATCCTGGAGACCCGGGATCGAATCCCATGTCGGGCTCCCAGTGCATGGAGCCTGCTTCTCCCTCTGCCTGTGTCTCTGCCTCTCTCTCTCTCTCTCTCTGTGTGTGTGTGACTATCATAAATAAATAAAAATTAAAAAAAAATAAAATAAAATGTGGCTAGCGGATTTGGCAATTTGGTTTCCTGGGTAAACATTTATAGAACATCTAGTAGGTGCCAGGCACTGTTCTAGATGCTGAGGAGAAGGCAAGGAAGGCAGGAGCTAAACGTGGGGCCTCTCTAACTTGAATGTGAATCTCACTTGGGGATCTTGGTGCTACGTGTGGTCCGCTCAGTAGCCTGCAGGGGGTCTGGGATCCTGCATTTCTAAGAAGTCCCCAGGTGACACAATGCTGTTAATCTGCAGGCCCCACTTCCATCCTCAAGTTAGACAACATGACCATATAGATCATAATAAGGAGTTGGATTTGATTCTCGGTGAGACAGTGGGAACTACCAGTGTCTTTGAAAAGTAGTTTTAGGGGAACGTGGGACTATAATCGGTTTACACCAGGAAGTCAGAGTGGAGATGAGACACTGATAGGAAGGAGAGTTGGGGTTGAAACACTCACTTTCTGGCAGCTCAGATGGCTGAAGCATCAGCTATAGGTGTACCACTGTGGTCAACCAACCATAGCAAACAGAAGGATTTTCCAGGTAATGTGCCTTCTGCCCCTCAAATATATGTCCCCTCTTCCCA